AGTAAGTTAACAAACTTTAACTACCTAGCAACCTAATCTACGTACACTTGTCTAAATCTGAACCACCTAATACATCTTTACATCCCCCCACAATCTCATGCTTGATCGAACTAAGCATGAGATTGGAACAATGAGACTGAAACAAAGGAGCAGCAAGGCCCTTAGTAAGAATATCTGCAAACTGTTCTTTTGAAGACACATGACAAACATGCAAATCACCTCGAATCACCCTTTCCCGGACAAAATGGTAATCTATCTCAATGTGCTTCACCCGAGAATGAAAAACAGGATTAGAAGATAAAGCAATTGTCGAAATATTGTCACAGTAGATCACTGGTGCAGTGAAAACAGAAACATGGAGATCACATAACAACTGACGAATCCAGGCCAATTCTGCAGCTGCAATAGCTAGTGCTCTATATTCGGCCTCAGTCGAAGATCTGGAGACAGTGTGTTGTTTCTTAGAAGCCCAAGATATGGGACTGGAACCAAAGTATACGACATGCCCTGAAGTGGATCTGCGATCATTGGGATCACCAGCCCAATCTGCATCACTGTATGCTTGCAGATGTAATTTTCCAGGTTTGAAATGGAGACCATAGTCCAGTGTGCCACTAAGGTAACGAAGAATACGCTTAACTGCAACAACATGAGAAGTCATGGGAGAATGCATAAACTGACAGCATTGATTGACAGAAAAGGCAATGTCTGGCCTTGTAAAAGTCACATACTGCAAGGCCCCAACAATACTCCTATATTGCTCTGGACTGTGATAAGGATCACCATCATCTTTAAGAAGTCTGTGGTATGGTAAGCAAGGGGTAGGGCAGGGCTTAGAATCTTGCAAATCAACTTTGTTTAAGAGATCTTTGATGTATTTTGATTGAGAGACAAACAGGCCACCAGATGGATATGAAACCTGCAACCCCAGAAAGTAATTCAACTGACCCAAATCCTTCATATCAAAATCCTTTGTTAATTCCACAATAACATCATCAATCAGTGTAGATGAACTGCCTGTAAGAATAATATCATCTACATAGAGTAACAACACAACCGTACCAGCACCATTATGTTTAACAAATAAAGAAGGATCTGCAAAGGAGGACTGAAAACCCAAACCAGGTAAATAGCTTGTAAATCTTTCATTCCAAGCCCGGGGAGCTTGCTTCAGTCCATACAAGGACTTATTGAGCTTGCACACATACTGAGAAGGAGAAGCAACACTCTGAAAGCCAGGAGGTTGAGTCATATACACTTCCTCATGTAACTCACCATGCAGAAATGCATTCTTGACATCTAATTGACGCAAGGACCAATGGAATTGAGCTGCCAACGCCAGGATCAACCGCACAGTTGTTGGTTTAACAACAGGGCTGAAAGTCTCAGTATAATCAATACCTTCCTCCTGATTATAGCCTTTGGCAACCAACCTAGCTTTATACCGAGCTATAGAACCATCAGAATGTGTTTTGATCCGATACACCCACTTGCAACCAACCAAATTCTTCCCAGAGGGAAGAGGAACTAAACTCCAAGTGTTCTGAGCATGAAGAACATCTATCTCTTCTTGCATAGCTGCGTGCCACTCAGGACATTTACTCGCAGATTTGTAGGAAGTAGGTTCACTACCTTGGGCAGAGGACTGAACAGTTGCGGTGAACACTTTTCTCTTTGAGATTCCACTTTTGGACCGAGTTTGCATGGGGTGCAAACTCACTGAGGGAAGGGGAAGAACAACAGGTAATTATTCGATTTGAAAATCCGGATCAATAGGGAATTGAGACTGTGTAGACCGCGGAGAAACTGGCTCAATGGTAGGAGAGGGAAGGGTTTGCAAGGATGCTGAGGTTGGAGGGGAATGAGCAAGGGAAGAAGATGGTTGAGGAGGTATGACTAGGTTTTGGGAGGTGACTAAGGGTGGTAAGGACCGAGGGATATGAACAGGCACCTGTGACTGTGAGACAATTTGAGGAGACTGAGGAGATGAGGACTGAGAAATGGAAAATGGAAAATCAAATTCATCAAACAACACATGCCTAGAAACCAGGATTTTATTGGTAAGAAGATTAAGACACAAATAACCTTTATATTGGCCTGCATAACCAAGAAATACACACTGAGATGTTTTGGGTTGCAACTTAGTGGTATTATATGGTTTTAAAAGAGGATAGCATGCACAACCAAAGATTTTAAGATGGGAAATTTGAGGAGGTTGACCAAAAAGACATTTATAGGGTGAAAACATGTGCAAGGTTTGACATGGCATGCGATTAATAAGGTACACAGAAGCAGCACATGCATGAAACCAATACTTAGAGGGCATGGAAGCATTTTGGAGAAGAGTGATGGCAGTTTCTAAAATATGGCGATGCTTTCTCTCGGCAAGACCATTTTGCTCAGGGGTGTAAGGGCATGATTTGTTATGAACTATACCCTTGGTAAGTAAGAAATGTTGAAATTGATGACTAGAGTACTCACCCCCTCCATCACTTTGAAAAACTTTGAGAGGAGCAGAAAATTGAGTTTTCAAAAACTGATAAAACTGAGCAAAGATATGGAACACTTCACTTTTATTAATCATTGAAAAGATCCAGGTAAACCTGGTACATTCATCCACAAATGTAACATAGTATTTGTAACCTTCAACCGAAACAGTGGAAGAAGGTCCCCAAACATCACTATGTATCACCTCCAAGGGAGTTACAGTTTTATGTGCAGGAAAAACAAAAGGAAGTTTAGAAAATTTGCCCTCTAAACATGATTTACAAACAGAAGACACATGAGAAACAGGCACAGAGATATTGGATTGTTTTAACATTGCAGAAGTCACAATGTTGGAAGGATGGCCGAGCCTGTGGTGCCACAACGTTATTTTGACTTGTTGACCAAGAAAACAGGAATGTGTGGTATTGGATGCAGAAGGTTGAGGAGCTTTATTGAGGAGATGTTGAGGAAAAGAGAAGGGAATGGGATATAAGCCAGCTCTACATAGTCCCTGGAGAAGAATTCTCCCTGTGACCTTGTCCTGGATCCAGTAATAAAACTCATCACATATAAATCGACATTTGTTATCCTTACAAAGTCTATAAATGGATAATAAATGTTGAGATATATGAGGAACATGCATAATTTTGTGTAATTCAAATGCATATTGAGGTGTTCGGAGTGTACTAGAGCCAATATGAGAAATGTTCAAACTTGAACCACTGGCTGTGGTTACGGTATCTGTGCCAGAGAAGGGAGTAGCAAAATTCAGGTATGCCAAATCAGAAGTCATGTGAGATGTTGCTCCTGTATCAGCCACCCAAAACTGGTCCGAAGGTGCTGATGGTTGGTAAGTGGTATGCATAGCAGATAGAGTAGAAGAAGGAGCCCGTCCTTGATGTGAGAAATCATTGCGATGATAGCACTGTAAGGCAGTATGGCCAAATTTCCAACAAATTTGACACTGAGGCCTAGAAGGTGGATTAGGAGAAGAAGAATGGCGCTGGAAGCAATCAACAGCAACATGACCTCGTTTGTTACAGATTTGGCAGGTTGGAATATCATAACCATGGTCAGGACATGTAGAGACATGTGGCTTCCCTGGACCAAGTATTCCAGCACTGGAATTGGAAAACCCCGATTGAAACCTGGGAGTGGAAGGATAGTAGTTTCTACCTCTTCCTCTGCCTCTATAGTTAAAACTGTACCCTCCATTGTGATTAGAAGAACCACCAATATAAGAACCAGCATTGATTGAACCAGTAGGACTATATGGCTTTGATTGAGTTTGAGTAGACCCTTCTCCCAACATCAGAGCCTTTCCTTTGCCTTTGGTATCATTTGCCATCATGGCAGACACAAAAGAATCACTCACAGAAGTATTTTCAACAACAGCTTCCTCGGCTAATAGCTGAGACCTGAAATCTTTGAGTGAAATAACATTGTCTCTCCCCCTTATAACTGTTTGAAAAGTATTATACTCAGCAGGCAAGCCCTTAAGTGCCAAGATGACAATGTCATCATCTTCAAAGAGTACTCCTGCAGCAGAGAGATGATCACGGACATCCTTGATCCTTTGAAGATATTGAGAGACAGAATCAGAGCCTTTCTTGATATTCTGCAATTCAGTTTTCAACTGAAAAATACTTGCTTTCGTGACGGTGGAGAACCGATCCTTCAAAGTAGTCCACATGTCATGAGAAGTAAGACATCCAATGATACAAGACATGGCTGTGGGAGAGAGAGTAGCAATGATCAATTGCATGAGAGCACGATCATGCATTTTCCAAATCTGAAATTCCTCAGTTTCCACACCTTCAACATCCAAATCATCTATAAACCGAGGAGGACAAGGACGAGATCCAGCAACAAAGTCAAAAATACTATGACTTTCAAGAAGCAATCGAATCTGATAATTCCATACCAGATAATTTGTGTCATCAAGCTTCACAGTTACAGAATTAGAGACATTCGAAATGAGATTCGTGATTGGAGACTGTACAATCTGTAATTGTGCAGCAGTCACCATATTTGCAAGAATGTGAGAATTCGGGAGAAAACGATCACAAATCTATGGAGTCAGAGAGACGAATCGAACAAACAACTCACAAGGAATGCAATTGTGGAGATATCTTGGAAGACGATATCAATGCAAACAAATCGTGGAAGAAGCAATTAATCAAACACTTGGCGTGCACAATGAGACAGAGACGGCAAGAAAGCAACTGCGCAGATACACAACCTCACAGAGCTATAAAGAGAGGAAAACCAAGAGCAGAAATGCACACCGGAGCAAAGCGATCAGGAATGCGGAAGCAAAAAAAAGAAACACAGATCAGGATCGAGAAGTCGTCATCACCGGCGAGGATACCATGTCAAAATACAAAGAAGTTCTTGATTGTCATATGTATTCTTGAGAGAGAAATAGAGATTTGAGAGAATATCAATCTTAGAGAGAAATGGATTGTATCTTGTTATGTATTGAATGAATTCTTTGTGTTACAATATCTACATATATATATAGACAAGGCTATCTTAGTCACTAAGTAAGTTAACAAACTTTAACTACCTAGCAACCTAATCTACGTACACTTGTCTAAATCTGAACCACCTAATACATCTTTACATAAACCACCCGAAAGCTGGAACGAGGAGGAGCACCAGTAGAACCAACGCAAGAGTTCCACACAAGAGGCTGATGTTGTTCATCAGTTCATATATATTTGTATTGTTGGAAGCTTGGAGAATGTTGGCAGTCTTCAATGTCCCCATGTAAGTGAGTAAAACAGCAATCAACATCACAACAGTGTTGTGGTCTGTGACAAATGGAGACGGTAAATTTCCGGTCGCATGCTTCACCTGGAGGAGAACTCCTAAGCTGTTGAGGAGATGGAATATACATTTGTGTGCTGCCGGTGGAGATTTGTACCGACCACCCTCCTCCATAGTGCTGCTGTATTATAAATTTATAAACAACACAGAAAGTAGATGCTTTACAATCAGCTTCCAACGAAAGAGTAGATGCAACATTCTTCATATGAGTAGACTTTCCCCGACGACGTGCGTGAATGAAAGAGTTTCAGAGAAGAATGGATTCAAAAAATTAAACAACTAAAAGATGATAACTAAAGAAAATGTACTAACCCAGCTGAGATTGGTGGAGAAGTTCCGACGTTCATAACGGGGATGTGGGTTCTTGGCATGGCGGAAGAGGAACGCTGCAGAGTTGGGGGAGGGAGGGAGGAGTGAGAGAGGATTGTGGTTGGCCTTTTGGCATGGCGGTTGAGGCTGTTAAATAGCCGTAGGATTAACATGGACACAAATTCGATGTGTAGCACATGGGACTCTTGACATTTAGGATCCGTCAGCGTCCTTCCAAGAAACAAAAACATCTGTCCACTTAGGATCCGTCAGCGTCCGTCCGGATCCGTCAGCGTCCGTCCAAGAAACAAAAAAAAAAAGTAGGACTAAAGACTAAAGTTCATATGCGGCTTGTATCCCTGATCTGCTTTGATCTATAACCCTAAATATTGCAATGATTATTCTCTAAAAATCAATAACCCTAAATCAGATCAACTAACCCTCAATATTCATTCTAACCCTAAATCTATGTCATTCTCTAAAAATCAATGTCGGATGGCTTTAATCCATTCTCCATTTTGTTTTTTAGAATGGACAAAATATTGCAATGATTATTTTCTTACTCGCTCTCATTCTACATATTGCAATGATTATACACATTGCAATATGGATTATACACTGTAGGCAAGCACATTGCAATATGTGTCAATACACATATGGATTTTCCAACGAGAAGACCGCGCACTCCATGTTAATCCTACGCTATTTAACAGCCTCAACCGCAAGCACAATGTGTTTGGCCTTTTGGCATGGCGGTGGAAAAAAATGTTAATGATTTTAAATTCGAGAAGATGAACCATCATGGAGTGGCTCAATAGTTGGACAAATTTTAGGTCTGTATTTCATATGACACATTCTAAGTTTAATTTTTAGCATTAAAGAAAACACGCGATAGTAATTAGGTGGAGATTGAAATGCCTCAATGAGTTTTTCCCGCTCGTGAAAAAGTAGATTGTTGATTTTTACAATTGCTAAATGTAGATGACCAAAGCGAAATATCATTGAGCTCCTTGCAAATTCAGATTGTTGATTTTTTTTTCCTTTCAATTTGCACTTCCACAAAATCCTTTCACGTATTGGTACGACTAAGTTGCAACTCTCACAAAACAAACCGTTCAAAAATGGCACTACTTGAGCAAATTCTACTGTAGCAAACTCTACTTTATTAAATCCCAAAAATTTCCGTTGCTACAGTAGATTTAATGGCACTACTTTAGCAAATTCTACTGTAGCAAACTCTACTCTATTAAATCTACTTGGCATGAAGGATTCAATCGCAAAAATGGCACTACCTTAGCAAATTCTACTGTAGCAAACTCTACTTTATTAAATCTCAAAAATTATGTTGCTACAGTATAATTTGCTAAAGTAGTGCCATTTTTGAACGGTTTGTTTTGTGAGAGTTGCAACTTAGTCGTACCAATACTTGAAAGGATTTTGTGGAAGTGCAGCTGCAGCTGCAGCACCTTTTTATGCCTGGGATAAATTGAAAGAGCTCATATTGCAAGGGCTACCTTAACTTATAGGTTATATCACAGTTGAACAATACCTAAATGCCACTTAGTAGTTCGTAACCAATTTATTCCTCCATCCCTTAGTCCTTCGTTTAAATATCTTGTACAGAAAACAAAAACAAAAAAAATTGTGGTTGCCAAGCTCTAGTAATTCAGGCTTTGGCACGCCTCTCTAAATTCTAGTATAATCTAAAATACGACAAACAAGACTTGCATAACAAATTTAGGATGCAAAAATACGACAATAATATTCTAATCTGTTGTCGTATTAATAGAATTTTACGGCTTAATTTTCATTGTATTGCATAATAGACAATATATACAAGATACAATCCTTGTTCTATAAGGAAACAATAAAAGACATACAACTAACCTTCCTAATAAAGGATTCTAATATTTACAATATAATTACATACCCTTTTTAATACCACTCACGTTAACACTCCCCCTCAAGTTGGAGCATAGATATCACACATGCCCAACTTGACAAGTGAGTCACCAAAAGATCTACTACACACGGCATGTGTGAGGATATCCGCAAGTTGCTCTTCCGAGTTCACAAACGGTATCGAAACAATTTTCTTCTCCAGCTTCTCCTTAATAAAATGACGATCAACCTCCACATGCTTTGTTCTGTCATGTTGTACCGGATTCTCTGCAATCTCCCGTGCGGATTTATTATCACAATACAAACTTGTCGCCTCTTTTGCTTTGAAACCTAGACCATCAAGTAACTTACGTAACCAAAGGACTTCACATATTCCATGTGCCATACCTCTGAATTCGGCCTCAGCTGACGATCTTGACACCACGTTTTTGCTTCTTGCTCCTCCAAGTAACTAGATTTCCTCCAACAAACGTAAAGTATCCAGAAGTAGAGCATCTATCAGTTACATCACCTGCCCAATCAGCATCAGTAAATCCTTCAATCCTCAGATGACCAGAATTTTTATACAAAATTCCTTTTCCTGGAGCCGACTTCAAATAAGCTAAAATCCGCATAACAGCTGCCATATGATCCACACTAGGCGAGTGCATAAACTGACTCACCACACTTACTACATAGGCTATATCTGGACGGGTATGAGCTAAATAAATTAGTCTTCCTACCAGTCTCTGATATCTACCTTTATCCACTGGTTCTTGATCCGGATAAATTCCCAAGTAATGTTTCTCCACAATGGGAGTATCCACGGGTTTACACCCAAGCATCCTTGTTTCCTTCAATAAATCCAGAACATATTTACGTTGAGACAAGAAAATACCTCTAGATGACCGAGCAACTTCCACGCCAAGAAAATATTTCAAATCTCCCAAATTCTTCATCTCGAACTCGGTGGCAAGGTTTTGTTCTAGCTTCATCATCTCTTCCGAATCATCACCTGTTATTATCATGTCATCCACATAAATAATTAAGGCTGTCACTTTACCACTTCCTCGTTTCACACAAATAATGTATGATTTGAGTGACTTTGATAATACCCAATCCGCCTCATAACTTGGGTAAATCTACCAAACCACGCACGAGGCGATTGCTTAAGTCCATAGAGTGCCTTTCGTAACCTACATACTCCGGTTTTCCCTCCGGCATCGTACCCCGGAGGAAAATCCATATATACTTCTTCTTCCAAGTGCCCATAAAGAAAAGCATTTTTCACATCAAACTGTTTTAGTGGCCAATTCAAATTTGCAGCTAAAGAAATCAGAACTCGTACTGTATTCATCTTCGCTACTGGAGAAAATGTTTCTTGATAATCAACACCATAAGTTTGAGTATAACCTTTTGCTACTAACCTTGCTTTATACCTGTCTACCGATCCGTCTGCCTTGTATTTGATCGTAAAGACCCATCTACACCCAACTGGTTTCTTTCCTTTAGGTAGCTCTGTTACCTCCCATGTATCATTCTTATGTAATGCCATCATTTCCTCATCCATCGCAGTAGCCCATTTAGGATCCTTCAAGGCCTCCTCAACTCGGGTTGGTGCTTGGATTGCTTCCACATTGTTTACCCAGGCTTGACGTTCTGGTGCAAGGTTTGAGCATGACATATAATTAGCTATTGGATACTTCACTTTTCCTTCGAGAGAAAACCTGTCAGGAGGAACACCACGATTTTGCCTTGGCGACAACTTATATGTATTCATAACATTATCTGGATTAGTTACATGAGTATCAGTAGTACTTACCTTAGGAATATTCAGAGAAGACATATTGGGTGGCACTATTGAGCTTGAGAGAGAGGGAGTTGCAGGTTCGGTAGCTAATGGTTGCTGGAACGGTGAAACTGGTTAGGCAACTCCCTGCTGACACTCTGCATCATACTCGGCAACACATTGCCTAGAAGACTCAACTGGTTCAGTGCTACTTGGCTGAATGATACTCACATTCTCGGCAGTGTCTTGCCGAGAGCTTTCACAACTTTTTTTGTCAATAAATACTCCCCCTGAGCTACATATTTCCAACCACCCAAGATCACCACTCATATTCTCCCCCGGGTGATCGGAAGGTGATGGAGTCGAAGCATAAAAGAACTCGGATTCGGAAAAGGTAACATCCATAGTTACATACATATGACGAGTTTCAGGGTGATAGCACTTATACCCTTTCTGTTGAGGAGCAAATCCCAGAAAAACACACCGGTGAGCACATGGATCGAGCTTATTACGATGAATCTTATGAATATGAACATAGGCTACACACCCAAATACACGAGGATAGAGAGTATTGGTTGACACTACTAGAACAAATTCTGTCAATATTTGGAGAGGTGTACGAAAATCCACAACCCGGGATGGCATACGGTTAATCACATACACGGCATAAGTGACAGCTTCAAGCCAGAACTGTTTAGGTACAGATGCACCAATGAGCAAGGCACGGGCAGTTTCTAGGATATGACGGTTCTTTCTTTCAGCAACCCCATTTTGTTGTGGGGTATGAGGGCAAGTAGTCTCATGTAGAATTCCTTGATCTCGAAGAAAGTTGGACAACTCGGAACCAATATACTCACCTCCATTATCAGAGCGAAGAACCTTAATAACAGAGGAATATTGTGTTGCAACCATTTGAGAGAATGATCGAAACACCATACCCATATCACTTTTATTCTTCATCACATAAATCCAAGTCATACGAGTGCAATCATCAACGAAGGTAACAAACCATTTAATTCCAGACAAAGTACTAACAGGAGAGGGACCCCAAACATCAGAGTGCACAAGTTCAAAAGGAAACAATCTATTATGCATACTAGGAGGAAACGAAACGCGATGACTCTTCGCGAGAATACATACCTCACAATGTAAGTCTGATTCTTTTATTTCATGAAATAAACTAGGCAACATACGCCTCAAATAACCAAATGAAGCATGTCCTAACCGACGATGCAATAACCAAACTTTCTGTAAATTATTGGTACGAGATGGAATATACATTTGTGTGCTGCCGGTGGAGATTTGTACCGACCACCCTCCTCCATAGGGCTGCTGTATTATAAACAACACAGAAAGTTAATGAATGGGAAAATGATCTCTGGAACATTACTCTAATGATATCAGGAGTTCCTAATTTTCAATTCTTCCATATTAGTTAATGATATTGACATGTGTCATCAACCGTTAGAATATCTGCCCACAACCCAAACTCATTTGCTATATTTCATATGCTTGTTATCTGCTTTGGACATCTGTCACTAATGAGAA